AATATATTGCTGTCGTGTTGCGGTCGGAATTGGCTGGTTGTGGTGCAATGTCATTATAGTTGTTATTTTTTGTCTTGTCTGATTTGTGCATGTACCAGTGTTCTGTGTGATGTCGTGTAACCAATGTCCTGTGTGCACTGTGTGCGTGGTCTGCCTTTGTGTGTGGCAAGTCTGTGGTGTGTAATGATCTTCTGACGGTCTCCGCTGGGTGTGTCTGTACATGTTCTGTGTGTGTGCTGGTCTGTTGTGGTTGGTGCAAGTCTGTTTGTAGTGTTGTGGCTAAGTCTGTGTGTGTGCATGTCTTGTGTGTGCATGTCTGTCGTGTGTGTGTCTGTGATGTGTGTGTCTGTGTGTGGTGTCTGTGTGTGTGTCGTCTCGTGTGCTATGTGCTGTCTAATGTGTTGTGTCTCTGTTGGGGTCTCTGTTGTGTGTGTGTGGTCTCTGTGTGTGGTGTCTTCTGTGATTTGTTCTGTGAGTGTGTGTCTGTGGTGGTGTGTGTGTGTGTGTGTGTGACTTCTGTGTGGTTTATGTGTGTGTGTGTAGTGTGTGTGTAGTGAAGTTGAAGTATGATAATAAATATCACTTGTCTCATGTGTGTGTGTTGTGTGTTGTCTGTAACTCTGCGCTATGTGTGTGTCTGTGTGTGTGTCTGTGTGCTGTGTGTGTCTGTGTGTGTGTGTGTCTGCAACTAGCGGTTGTTGTGTGTCTGTCTGCATTTTTGTGTGTGTGTGTCTGTTGCTTGTGTACGACGTTTGTGTTCTAGTGTGTGTGTGTCTGTGTGTGTGGTGTCTGTGTGTGTGTCTGTCTGTGTGGTGTGTGTGTCTGTTGTGTGCATGTGTGTTGTGTGCATGTCTGTGTGTGTGCATGTCTGTGTGTGTGGGTCTGTGGGTCTTGTGTGTGTGGTGTCTGTGTGTGTGTGTGTGTGTGTTGTGTGTGTGTGGTGTGTGGTGTGTGTGCTGTGTGTGTGTGTGTGTGTGTGTGTGTGTGTGTGTGTGTGTGTGTGTCTGTGTGTGTGTGTCTGTGTGTGTGTGTGTGGTGTGTGTGTGTGTGTGTGTGTGTGTGTGTGTGTGTGTGTGTGTGTGTGTGTGTGTCTGTGTGTGTGGATGTGTGTGTGTGTGTGTTGTGTGTGTGGTGTGTGTGGTGTGTGTGTGTGTGTGTGTGTGCTGTGTGTGTGTGTCGTGTGTGTGTGTGTGTGTGTGTGGTGTGTGTGTGTGTGTGTGTGTGTGTGTGTGTGTGTTGTGTGGTGTTGTGTTGTGTGTGTGTGTGTGTGGTGTGTGTGTGTTGTGTGTGTGTGTGTGTGTGTGTGTTTGTGTGTTTGTGTGTGTGTGTGTGTGTGTGTGTGTGTGTGTGTGTGTGTGTGTGTGTGTGTGTGTGTGTGTGTGTGTGTGTGTGTGTGTGTGTGTGTGTGTGTGTGTGTGTGTGTGTGTGTGTGTGTGTGTGTGTGTGTGTGTGTGTGTGTGTGTGTGTGTGTGTGTGTGTGTGTGTGTGTGTGTGTGTGTGTGTGTGTGTGGTTGTGTGTGTGTGTGTGTGTGTGTTTGTCTGTGTCTGTGTGTGTGTCTGTGTGTGTGTGTGTCTGTGTGTGCACATATATCTATTTGAAAAATTCTTATTGTGGCTGTTTTCGTTTTTCATTCTTGTGTACACAGTGCTTATGCTTGTGTTCATGTATATATATCTATATATATGTAAAGATGTGCATATTCATACATGTAAATATATATACATGTATGTATTTATGTGTCTATATATACATACATATATACATATGTATGTATTCATATAAGTATATATGTATTTATGTAATTATGAATTTATGTATTTAAATATTTATGTATATATATATATATATATATATATATATATATGCATATGTATACATATGCATATATATGTATATTTATATATGTACATATGTGCCTGTGCATGTGCATGTACATATATATGTATTTACTAGTTAACATAAATAGGTAATATATAGATAACCTTGATATAATTTTCTGTGTGGCACTTATTCCAATAACTAATTGGAACTACCACCTCTTATCGGCTGGGTATTTACTGTATAGAGCCGGACCTTCCCACTTGTTCGCTGGAGTGAATCATGAAGTATATATACATGCCTATCATGAAAGAAAAGCTTTCCATGACAGCTATAGCCTGTCAGAAAAGTGACATATAATAAGGACATACTTAATAACACAATTATACAATTATACCCTGGAATCTCCCCAAGGCTCATTAATATAAAACAATCTCCAGCAATTATAATTCATATGTATATGTATATATATCTAGTATAATGAAATATAAATACCTAGCTATACTCCAATGAAATACAAATACTTGGCTATCCTCCTTGTTTGTAATGGTTCCTGGATAATAAAATGTATATCTTCTGTGCTAAAAAACAATTTGGCACCTTATATAAGTGAAATTTGTTTGATTCTATGAATGTTCATATAAATACTCCATCCATTTTCATACATCTTACAGTTCTATC